AAGGATGGCAGCAGCTGGAGCTCTGTATACACCATAACATTCATTATTTTTACATTTTCTTATATCCAGTGAATAGCGACACATCTGCATATGATCCTCAATCCACTCCCATGATATTGAAGGCTTAGGATCATTGAATGGATGTCTCTCCTGGTCGACATATTCCACCATCACAGGTTTTCCATGTATGTTATTCCTTTTCCATATATTACGTTGTTTTTTTCCCGAATATTCGAAATTCCGTCATGTTAACACTTCATCTACTACTTTCCCTTGACTATTTAGATGTGATCCGAATTCCCTCACAGGTAAAGTGATACCAGCAAGTTTTGCGAACAAAGAAGCCATACTGCGTTCGACCAGATTATACACACTTTGACCTGGAGCATGAATACGAATCGTCAAGTAGTCTAGATTAAGAATACAGAAAAGGTGAGCATATTGAATAATATTTTTCATACGCTTTGGGTTTTCATCGGGTCCACCATCAACAAGAAGAATCGAAATAGGTCTAACTTTGCCTTCTTTTTTTAGGGTAGTGGAAAACTCTTTATTCGAAACGATACTTTCTAAATCTACTATATGGGTTGTTGATGAAGTTCCAATGAAATATTCTGGCCTAATGAATATGGAAAGCCGACCAGTACGAAGGGTATTACTCGAATCAGCTGGATTAATGACTAAATAAACAGAAGGTATGAGTTTCATTTTTGAACCAGTTGGGAAATTGTGATCTTTGACAGTTACTGGTTCATTAACTGACTGGATTGTTTTGAATGTGCAACAACTGCGGGAATGCCCAATCTGACCTTTGCCTTATCATCCTGAGAGATGATAATCACCTCCTCAGCAAAAACTTCAGCAAATACTTTTGTGGCTTTGTCAGAAGCTAGACAGTAATATTCATCGATATGAGGTTTCATTTCTGTCCATGATACGAAGGCGAGACCAACCTTTGTTGGATGATGATGACGACGTGCAGTAAAGGTGCGTTGGTTTCGGAGTTAAAGATAAGTTGATAAGCATTGACAAGATAGATAAGTATTATATTTTTCTTCTAGAGTTTCGCGTAAATGCTTCACAGTCCTAACTTTTATGACCACTTTTCTTCGTTTAGCATGAGCAGCTCCAAACTCAATGCTGTCATGGATTTTATCTCATAGATCTGGATCTTTCATAGTCACAGATGGTCTTCCTAGAGTATCATATTTTCTACAATACCCTCTTCTCGCAATTTCTGTTTTTTTGTTGCTAGTTTTGATTGGGCTTCAGCATGACGTTTCAGCTTTGTTAACTGTGCATTTTGTATTGATATATTTTTTTGTTCTTCAAATATCTTAGACAATAACAAAACTTTCATTGAGTCATCTGTAGTGATCTCCTTCATTCGTTGATATTCAGCTAGGCTTTTTGCAGCTGAA